ATTATTTAATATTATTGTTTAAATTTTTCCATCATTTAAACAAACTGACAATGACTCTCAGAAGTCAGAGGAGGAAAGCATTTTCAGACCAGGAGGGGGTAAAAACACTGCCAGCTGTTGGTAACAATGCAGCAAAGTGTTGACTGGAATGAGGCAGCAAGTCTGGGGGTGACCTGTCACTGTCAGCCCCCTACAGGCAGGTCCAGCTCCTGAGCCCAGAGGAGAATGGCTGCCCAGGAGGGGTAGGGGGGAGGGGCAGGGACATGGACAGAGACCCCCTGTCCAGTGTGAAGAGCTGGGGGCCCTGGCCAGGGAGGCTCAGGAAAACAGGCAGCATCTCCTCAGGCCTGAGAAAAAGAGTCTGGAGACAAAGTCATCCAGTTTCTGTTCTGGAAGATGCAGGGAGATCAAGCTACAGACTGGGGCCCAGGGGAACAGTGACTGTGACACCCCCAGCTCAGGGCACTGGGCACCTGGGGAGTCCCCAGGGTGTCTGTTTCCACTCAGAGCCTGAAGAGCTCAACGCCCACTCACAGTCTCGGTGAGGTTAATAGTGTCTTTAACACTGGGCTCTGCTCAGACCCCAGGAGGCGCCAGCCCCAGAGGAGGGGACACAAATCTCAGCACCAGTGAGAGTGATTCAGCTAAGACCTGGGAAGCAGGGAGCTGACAGTGACAGCCCCCCTCTTTACAGACATCCCTGTGGTGAGGGATGTGACTTGAAATGTCTTTATTATTTTCATGATCGCAAAAAACTAAGGAAAGTTGATGATTTTTGTGAAAACTAAGGTTATAGGGTTTCTGACTTATATGTTTTCTGTCTTTTTTATGTAATTCTAAAGCAATGTTCACATAAAGGAACTAAGGTGCTTGGATGACTTGATAAAGGTAAATTATAAAGGGAAATCGTTGTTTTCTTGTTTTTCATTCTATCCCAGGAGGTTTGTTTTGCTAGAACGAATGATTATCTACTGCTCTAACGCAATTATGCTTCAGAAGTTGTCTGTACATACAAATTTTTTAATAAAACTTATGAATATATATATATATATATACATATGAGAATTTTTGTTCATCCGCTGACCCAGTATTTGCGGGGGGCCAAGGGCTCAGGCTGTGCTCAGAGCAGCAGCCCCCACACCTGCCAGTGCAGCCCTCCCCTCCCCCATCACTATGTGCAGATTAAGGGGCCTGCTTAGATCACCTTCAAAGCCATCTGGCAGGGGTCATGGGGCTGTTTCAGCCCCAAGCCCCAGAGGCAGTGCTTTGGGAATGGCATCCCCCTCTGGGGACATGGGGACTCCGACCTGTTGTCGTGGTCCTGCTGTGCCACCCTGAGTGCCTTGCAAAGGCTGAGGAAGCTGGCATTGCCAGAGAGTGGAAGCTTCCTGCAAGCAGCCCTGTCTCTGCTATCCCCGTGGAGAGGGCGATACAGTAATTCTGAGGGGTTGGGCAGAAGCTCCTCTGGTCTCAGGTCCAGGGACAGAGCTCAGGAGCCCAAGACAGGCCCAGTGCCCAGGCCACAACACTGAAGGCAAAGAGCCACAGAGAACAGTGGTGACAAGCGGGCTGGA